AGCAAGGACAAGCTATGGGGGGCGGGCAGGGGGGAGCCCGGCCTCTGTGTTCAGGAAATGGCCCTAGGTCCAAAATGCTGATAGCCACAGCTAACGCTGAATGCCTGCCAAGCCCTGGGCAGGACCAGGACCCGGACTGTGTTATGGGGTCCTCAAGACAGCCAGCAGGAAGGTATTTACTGGGGAAACTGAGGCTCAGGAAGATTCAGTGAGTCACATGGTCGACAGAAGAGCCGGCCCTTGAGCCCACCCCACGGCCTGAGTGCCTGCCTCTCTCCTGCCTGCACCCACACCCACGGCTTCCACAGACGCTGCTTGCAGACGGGACCCGGTCCCTCCTGAGCTGCACTCCCGTCTCGGGCCTGGGGAACCGGTCACAGTGGACTGAGGCTGAACACAAACCCAGCTGCCAGCTCAGACCAGCAGCCCCCCCGCCAGCCCCCACCTCCCTGCCCCCACCCCGGGCAGGGCCTGGAGCTGCTTCCCCCTTATCTCGGTCCACTCTCACCACCTCTGCAGTCTGAATTCTCTACTGCTTCTCTCCTTTTACAGATAAGGACCCTCGAGTTTGGAGAGGGCAGGTGTGCTGCCCAAGCTCATGGGCTCAGGGATGACAGCCCTGGGGCACACATTGGCCTGATGCACTAACCTCCCGGGGACCCCTCCTCCTCCCCTCAGACCCACAGGGCAGCAGTTCCCAACCCTGTGGCTTTGGGGGTCTTTAGACACCTGACCTTGTCTGGGACCCCAACCACTTAGTCTCCGAGTCATCAGCAGGGAGCTGGATCAGAAGTGGAGCAGTCAGGACTTGAACCGGCGCCCTATGGGATGCTAGCGCTGCAGGCAGCAGCTTTACCCACTACGCCACGTAGTCCATTCACTGAGCCCTTCTTGGCAATTTCCAGGCTCTTGGTGGTCGCATGAGACAGAAGTCCAGCCAAACGTGCTGGACCAAGACAGGGAGTTTATGGGTGGACATCGGTGTAGCTCACAGGCCTCAAAGAAGGACTGCAGGCACCAAGGCCGTGAGAGCCAAACCTGACCCTCACCACAGCCAGCGTGTGCTCTAAATTCCTTTCTTGTCCATGCTCGGCCCAGACACTGGGTGGGAAGATAGTTCACGGGGCTTCAGACCCAGCCCCCACCCCCAGTAGGAGGAGTTTCTTCCTGCCAGCATCCACCCAGCAATCCCAGGCAAGCGTCTGATTGGTTCTGCTGGGGTTCTGTGCCTGCCTCTTGGGCCAATCACAGTCGCTGGAGGATGGGGTTTCACACTGATGCGGTCTGGGGGCGCCGGGCAGTGTTGGGTGGGAGTGGTGGGCACTTTAACTGATGACCACCAGGATGACGTGACGACAGGGACAATTCCCAGAGGAAAGGCAGGGCAGACGTGGGACTGCGGACGACAGGGCAGATTCCCTGGCTGTCCACTGTGCTCGTCCCTGTGGGACAGGTGCAGACACACAGACCCCGAAATGGGGAGCTCTCAGCATCGCAGCCCTGAGTGCCTTCCCTAACAGGAGCTGATAGCAGCTGCTACGGACCCAGCACTTAGCAGGCCCGGGCACCGGGCCAAGCCTGCCACCAGCATTGTCTCACACGGAGCTCACAATGACCCCGGAAAGTGGGCATTATCATCGGCTCTAGTTCTCCGAGATAGAGAGACCAGGAAAAAAAAAAAAAAGACTTTCTTTTTTTAAGCAAGAGAACCAATTCAGGAAAACCAAAAATGTTTATGGGCTGCTCAGAGTGGCTCAGTGACTCGCTCAAGGTCACACAACCGGCGTATCAAATGCACGTCCTGCGAAGCGCTGGCTCCAGGCCCCAAGAGCTTCCGCTACTCTGAAGGCACCACGCAACAGTGCACCTCAGCAGAGACCCAGGGTCCAGGGAAGGGGGAGGGGCAGCCCCAGCGGCTCAGGGCGGCCAGCTGAGACCACCCAGCTGCCCGCTCACATTTACAATCAGAAGCCTCTTCCCCTGTGTCTGCCCTGACCGGCCCCCTTGCCCCTCTGTCCCCGCTGCCCCCTCCTGGTGACACACCCATTGACCCGAGATCCTAGGCATGGTTTGGTCCACATGGGCGACAGAAGAAACGTCACCTCCCTCTGTCTAAACACTCCTCTTCTATTCACGAGGCCCGGGGTCAGTGAGGGACCCTCTCCACCCAAGCCCTCCCTGCCCCCGTCTCCGTCGCCCCCACAGTGTCCACAGAAGTGCCCGGAGGGGCTGTAGGATCCCACGTGCAGGGTGCTCCAGTGGGGATATGCACCCCAAATGCAGGCAATAGTGCCCTAAGCTCCAAGGCCACGGCGCTGGCAGGTGGACACCTAAGAGGTGACAGGCCACGAGGGCCCTCGTGCAGGGCCGGTGTTTGGGGGCAGCTGATGAAGCCACGAGCTTGACCGCCTGCCTCCCCCACTCTCACACTCTGCCGCCTTCCGCAGCCCGGTGCGTGCAGCCGGAAGGCCCTCGCCGGATGCCAGCCCCTGATCTCAGATTCCCAGCCTCCAGAGTAAACTGCCAGTGCTGGTGAGCGACCCAGTCTAAGGGATCTCGCTGTACGACAGGACCGGACTTGGGTCCGGGAGGCCTGCAGTGCAGACAGGGACCGAACACGGAACGGGGGGCAGGGGCCAGGGTCCCGCGAGTCGGGCATGAAAGAGCTCTGGAGATGGACAGAGGGGACCGTTCTCAGCGCCGCTGAGCTGTGCAGACTGGTGGCTGGAACGGCAAAGCTCCCATCTGTGTGTGCCTTTCACACCACTAAGGACAAAACAATTGGCTGGTGAGCCCCTGCCCCAGATGACGGAGCCCTCCCCTCCTCGCCTCTGGTCCGCCGCTGACCGCGAAGGAGCCGTCCCTAGTGCTTCTGCTGCGGAGAGAGCTCGGAGACCAAGTGCTCACTGGTCCCCACGATCCCATCCCTGTCCCCGGAATTCAAGCCAGCTTCGAATCACCCTCAGCACCACCTCTCTCGACCCCTGTCTGCCTCTCGCTCAAGAGCTGAACTTCGAGGAACCAGCGCTGGGGCGTAGTGGGTTAAGCCGCTACCTGCGACACCTGTGTTCCATATGGGCACCAGTTCAAGTCCCGGCTGCTCCACTTCTGATCCAGCTCCCTGCTAGTGCGCCTGGGAAAGCAGCAGAAGATGGGCCAAGTGCTTGGGCTCTGCACCCGCATGGAGTTCCTGGCTCTGGCTTCTGCCTGGCCCAGCCCTGGTTACTGTGGTCATTTGGGGAGTGAACTAGCAGATGGAAGATCTCTCTCAAAGAAATAATAAAGAAATCATTTTTTTAAGAGCTGAACTTTGGGAAATGTCACCCGTCCCCACTGACTGCCCCCCATTCCTCACCAGCCAGTCAGTCCTCAAGGCCCAACAGCGTGGCTCCTGTCACTCCAGCACCACCAAGACGCCCCTGCCATCACCGGTGACAGCCTAAGGACCAGGCCAGGGGGCCCTTCCCGTTGCTTCTCTCACAGCCGCTCTCTGGAGCCTGGGACACTGGGGAGCACCTGCCTCCCGGGGCCCACTCTCCACCCTCCTGGGCCACTTCCCCATCTCACCCACAAGCTCTTGTCCCAAGGTCCCAACCTGCACGCATGGCTTTTGTTCCCTCTCCACTGTCAGTATTGGTGGCCAAACCAACCGACCCTACACCCCCAAGACCCTGCCTCTCCCATCACCTGGAGCGTCTTACCTGCCCCTGGCGGGTTCTCCTCCCCCTCCCCACACAGCCGTCCACCCAGCTTCATGGCTCAAACTGCTGCCCAAGTCCTCAGCTTCCAAAAGCCTCCTAATGGATGTGGCCCCGAAATCCACCACGTGCAGCCCCCAGGGGGCTCTCCTAAGAAGGCAGGCAGGCCCAGCTCACTTCCCGACCACCATTGCCTCCCCACCTCTGGCAGGGGGTTGGAACCAGGGCCTCCTCTGAGCCTCCCTGCTCCCCGTCTCAGCTGACATAACTCCCGCACCCGCACCCTGCTCCCTGCCGGGCTGCCACTCCCCACCTCTTCCCACACTGACAATCACGGGGTAACTCCTACTCTGAGAGCCGCTCCAGGGCTCTGCCTCCCGGGAAGAACCTGCCGGGCTGAGCATACCTGCTCGTCCTTGTCCGCTCAGGGTCCCTGTGAGCCTGCCTGCTTTGCCTTCCTGCGATGTGTACACAGAAGGTGCTCAATCAGTGTTGAGAACATGGGTGAACAACTGGAGAAAGTGCTGGTGTCCGCGGCACACCTGTCACCCCACCCAGCAGCCCCCAGCCCGGCCCTACCCAGAGCTGGGCAGGCAGCAGGTGCTCAGCCTGGCTGGCTTCTCTTTTCCGAATTCACCAGAGAGCAAACTGGGTCTGGGGTAGCTTGCAGGGGCGTGGGGAGGGTCTGGATTCCAGAAACAGCCGGCAGGGAAGCTTAGAGCTCACCGCAGTCGGGGCAAGGGGCGATGGGGGTGCCCAGGGTGCGAGGCACTACGTCCCCCGGCCACTGCCCCTGCGCGGCCCCGGGGCGGCGGGCGCGGGCCTGGCTGGCCCTGTCCGGCCCGGCCAGGTCCGGCGAAAGCAGGACCCTCGCCCTCCTGGCGTTGAGACCCCGGCCGCGCCCGCGCGGGGAGGCGGCGCGCGTGTCGCTTTAAGCGCTCGCTCCCGGCGCGCGGCCGGCCCTTCCCCGGCAGCCGCGGCGAGCTGAGCGGGGAGAGCCGGGCGGCCTCGCAGGGAGCCAGCGCCCGCCCCGGGCGGCCAGTCCCGCGGCGGCGGGGCCGGGGCGCGCGGCCTCCGGGAGCGGGCCCAGGCCGCGGAGCCCCCGGAGCCCGCGGAACCCGGCGGAGCAGGTCTGGGCGAGGCCGCGACGAGGCCCGGCCCCGAGCCGGCGCCGGGGCTGCGGAGCCGCGGAGCCGAGAGCGGCGCACGGGAGGCAAGCGCGCGCGGGCTGAGCGGAGGCTGCGAGCCCGTGCGCCCCGCGGCCCGGCCCGGCCCGGCCCGGCCCGGCCCGGCCCGGCGCGCGCCCTCCCCGCCCCTCCCTCTGCCCTCGCCCCCTCCCCTCGAACCCTCCCCTCCGCTTCTCTCCCCTCCCCTCGCCTCCTCTCCTTCCCTGCGCCGGGCGCCGAACCCAGCCGGGCCGGGCCCCAGCCTCGCGCGCTCTCGGCCGGGCCCTGCGGGGGACCCGGTCCCGGCGGCCGGCGCTGCCCCTCCCCCGGGACCGCGGGCTCCGGACCTTCCGGGACGTGGACTGAGCGGAGCGAGGCTGGGCGGAGCGGACCCTAGCTGGTGCCGGAGCGCCGACGTCGGGTTCTGGGCTGAGTGCGCGCGGGCGCCCAGCGCGGCCGGCCCGCTCCGGGCAGGCAGGGCAAGCGGAGCTCGCGGAGCCCTGGCCCGCCGGGGCGCACTGGACAGAGCGAGTCCCAGACGCTGCCGGCCGGGGGCGCCGGGCTTGGGCTGAGGACCCCTGCACCCTACCGGCCGCTGACTTGAGCTCCAGCGCTGGGACCGGCCCGGAGTCGCCTCGGCCGCCCTGCGCCCGGGTCACCTGTGGCCTCGGAGCCCTGAGCCGGCCAGGTCTTCGCTCGCTGCCCACCTGGAGCCTGGTGGGGTTTGAGGGCTCTCGGTCCTGCCCCGCCCCCTCCCTCCCGCCGCCCAGATGTCCCGGGCCCCGGCGCGGAGGACCTCGCCCAGGCCAGGAGCTGAAGGGTCCAGAGAGAGGAGCCCGCCCTAGGGAGCCTTGTTGGGGGGAGGTCCCCCAATATCATCTTGGGGCTCGGAGAGAACGCCAGCGCCCCCACCCTCGGTGAGTCGGGGAACGGGTTCCGAGGGCGGGGGGGCGGGGACTGAGACGCAGGACGCCCCCCCCCCAGGGGCCCTGGGCATCCAGGGATGCAAAAGGGGGGGGGGGGTGGCAGGCACCGGGGCGTGGGGGTGGGGCGGCGTGGCGTGGCCGGGCGCCCCCGGAGCAGCTGAGGACTTCAGTCCCTGGCAGCGGGGGCTCCCTCCCCCCTCCAGAGGAGGAGCCGCGTTGGAAGCCGTGGCCTGCACAGCCCTCCCTAAGATAAATAGATGCCCGGCGGCCCGCGTGAGGGTGCAGGAGTGCCGAGGAGGGCGCCGCCGGTGCTGCAGCCCGAGAGCTGACGCCAGGCTCCCCGCTCTCCGCAGCCGGCTGCCCTTCTGTCACCCGCTCCAGCGCCAGCACGGAGCACGGAGCAGCCCCCCCCCCCCCCAGCTGGAGCACCCTCCGCTGTCTGGAAGACCCTGGCCACCCTCCCTCTTCAGGTGTCAGCCACCTCCATCCAGACCTCTGCCGTGGGAGCCGGCCGGGAGTCCTACAGGGAAAGCCACTGCCTCCCCCGCTCCAAGGGCGTCTCTCACCCAGAGTCCCTGCAGTGTCATCGCCCAGGCGGGCCGCGGAGTCCAGGCTCCGGGGGACATTGGCGCGCACGCCCACTGGTGCTCCCAGTGCTGAGGCCATTCCTGGGGCCTGAGGCCCCTCCCGCTGCCCCCTGCCAGAGTCCGGCAGCCTCTGCCTCCCTCTGGGGGGCTGCGTTCCCCCACCCAGAGGCGGAAGAGGCGGGGTGGCAGGGGCAGGGGTCGGGGGCGTGGGCTGGGGGCCGTTAAGATGTGGAGCTCTGCCCGGCCGAGGGGGGCTCCGTGGAGGCAGGCGCAGCGTGAGCCCGGCAGGGGGGAGTATGGGCAGGCCTGTGGCCACGTGGTAAAGGATGAACATTCGGGGGGCCCCGGAACTCGGGCAGCCCAGTGACTACCCCGGCAGCGGCGGCGAGCGGGAGCGGATCCGGCAGCGCATGAAGATGGTCATCGGGCAGCTTGAGGACATCCTGCGGGAGCTCAAGGAGGTGGCCAAGGAGCTGAGGGAGGTGAGTCGGGGGTGACGCCTGCCCCTGCGCCTGGCCTCGACCCAGAGCTGCAGGCTCGCTTGCCCTCACGTGTTAAAGCCGTGCCGAGCCGTGTCCGTGCGTGTCCGTCTTCGGGGGTGCCACTCTTGCCTCGTTCTTCTGTCCCTAAGACCATCACTGAGCTCCAGGGCTGGAGGGCCGCTGGTGTGGCGGGAGTGTCCTAGGTACCGTGTCAGCGGGTCCCTAGCCCCTGGCTCTTGGCACGAGAGCAGCCGAGGTGGCGTCGGCCACGGCTGTTCTCCTGGGACCTGAGCTGACCTCTTTGAGGCCATCCTCTGCCTCCTGACTCTGCCGAGAGGCCCTGGGAAGGTGCAGATGGCTCTACTGGGACAGTCCCCGCTGCCTGAGGCCCAGCTCAGACCGTTCCCTAGACTGCAGGAAGAAGCCAGCTGAGCCCTCCCGTCCTGGGATCAGAAGAGGCCGTGTGTGTGTGTGTGTGTGTGTGTGTGTGTGTGTGTCTGTGTCAGGGCTGAGGCATGGGTGCTAGCAGGTGTTGGAATCCAGGAAACAGTGGGGTTGGGGGCTTGCAAAGCTGAACGGCCCCCCAGAAACGCGGGAGAGTGTGCACCTCTGTCTCTTAGCGGAGCCCAGATGAACACTGCTGGGGCAGTGAGGTACACATGTCCTCGACCTGCTCCCTGAGCTGCCGTCCTGCCCAAAATGCACGGTGGCCGCCGGCCTGAATCTGCCCGCCGGGTGCCATGTCGCCAGCCAAGTGGGCTTTAGGCATATTCCAACTCCTGGTAACCAGGGGCCCGGGCTCTCCGCAGCCAGCTGTGCTGGGCACGGGGGCCCTGGGAAGGCTGCGGGGACAGTGGGTGTCAGCTCCAAGCTGGCCTGAGAGCCGTGGGGTTGTTTGGCGGCAGCTGTGGTTGGAGGTGGCAGGGCCTAGAGGGGAGGGGCACAGGTAGAGATGTTGGGACAGGAAGTGAGGTCAGGCCATGCTGACTCTCAGCCTAGTAGAGCTGGCCGCCAGGAAGTCCTGTATGAAGACGGGGTCGTGACTGCTGCTTCAGGTAGACAGGGGTGGGGGCGCTGCTGCCCGTGGTCTGGCCAGGCATCTCTGGGTGGTGCAACTTGGAGGGCGGAGGCGAGATGCCCCTGCCCCCGGGCAGCCTGTCTTCTGGTCTCAGGGATCCAAGGACTCCGATCAACCACCCCCTCCGGACCCCCACGTTCTTTAGCTGTGCTGCAGAGATGGTTCTGTGGGGCGTAGGAACTGTGTGGTCTCCGTCGGGCAGGACGCTGTCTGTCCTGGGAGGCCCTCCCAGAAGGCCTGGGAGCCAACTTGGACCTGACTCCAGGCCGCCTCCCGCCTGAGCCTGTTCCAGGCTCCCCAGGGCCCCTGTGTGCCAAGCTGTTTTCTTTGCTGTTGAAAGGAGAGAGGCCCAGAGAAGCAGAGGAGCCTGGCCCAGGTCACACAGCCCACCCATGGCAGAACTGCAAGCCCGGGACGCAGTCCTGATGCCCCTCCTGGGCTGGGTGGGCCCCCGGTGCCCTCTGCGTCACCCTGTGTCAGGAGCCCTGTGCACTGCTGTGAGGCTGTGGCACCAGCACTTGTTAGCAGGTCCCTCTCTTCCTGTCTACGGTCCCCTACTCACACATTCCACCTGGAGGAGACCCTGGCCCAGCCAGAGAGGGAGGAGTCCCCTCCCCCACAAACCCTGGCCTCTCCCAAGACTTGGGCAGGTTGCTACAGCAACCAGAGTCTACCTAGGTGCCCGCTGCCAGTGTCCCCCCCCCCCCCAGGGAGGGGCAAGCCCCAGGATGGCGTGGGGTGGGGGAGTGGGGGCAAAGGGCAGTGGGCCAGGAGGAGGCAGGGGAGGCTCTGGGAGGCCCAGGAGAGAGGAAGAACAGCTAGGACCACTTTCCTGTGCGGTGGGCAGGGGTCAGGGTTCCAGCTCCGGAGACCTGGAGGGAAAGTAAAGGCCTGGAGGTGGAGACGGGCGGGCAGTGCTTGTGCCGCGGGGGAGCCGTCCAGGCTCAGCTCCCCTGTGCCACCCCATTCCCCAGCACCCGCTGCTCACAGAGGCTGAGAGTCCCTGAGCTTGGTGTGCTCATCTCTGACATGGGGAGGGGGCCACGGTGATCTTAACCAGGGCTCACCCCCGCAGAGGGTGTGGAGCTGCCCCTCCCGGGTCCCTCTCACCCTCCCAAATCCCTGCTGCGCAGCTCAGCCAGCCGCCCCCCTCCCCGTCCGTGGGGGGATCACTACCCGGACGCAGGCAGGGAGGCGGTGACGGTGCCTTGCGAGCTGCAGTTGGGCTGCCGGGGACGTCAGACCTTCATGAGCCTCGTCTCTCCAGGTCCCCCCGCCCCAGTCCCCACAGGCTCTCTGCGAGAAGCAGCCCAGCCCAGCTCCGCGGCCAGATGCCTCCATTCAAGTTCAGTTCCGAGCTCCAGCCCTTCCTAGCTGTGTGAGCTCGGGAAGTCACTTCGCCTCTCTGTGCCTGTCTCCCTGCCCAGCCTGTCCTCCGACTGCGGCCTCCCGGGTAGGGTCCCTGTGAGGATGAAAGGGGGTGTCGTGTGTGCAGTGTTAGCTCCAGGCTGTGCCTGCTCCGCCCGCAGCCCCGTCTTCCCCAGTGATCTAGCCTGGACCTGGGAGCGCAGGGCTGGGTGCTGGCCTCCTGGCTGGGGAGCCAGTGGGGAAAGGGGTAGTGATGGGGACAGGGAGGGGGTCTCCAGTAAGGTGGCTTTGGAGTAGAGACTCAAAGGAAGTGAGGGCACCAGCCAGGTGCGTGTGCAGTGAGAGGCAGCCAGGGTGCGGGCTGGAGAGGCGGGGTGTGCCGGGTCAGGGCGGAGGCCTGTGCAGGGGTGTGGTGTGATAGAGGAGGAAAGCATTGTGGGGGGCAGGCGCAGGGGTTCCATTGATATCAGAAATGACCCCCAGAAACCTGGATGTGTTGCGGGGAGGGCCCATGCTGTCCAGGAGCCCCCGTGTTTCTGGTGGGATTCTGCCTGCCCCGCCTTCTCCTGCCCCCGCCGGCCGGATGCTCTCCCTGGCCCTAGGTGTCGGGCTTGCCTTGAGCAGGTACTTGGCTGCCTCCTCCTTGGGATCCCCCTGCCCCACGATGTTGCTGAGCCGGGAGGCTCCGGTAGGATCTGCAAATTGACCCCGTGCCCCTATATCCTCAGGGACTCCTGGGGAGACCCCTGGTGTCAGGGCACACCTGCCTCCTCAGCCCCAGCACCTGGGGAGCAATGGAGGAGGTGTGGCGTGCCCTTTGCCCAGCCCAGGGGGTGGCAGGGAGTCCCCTGTCTGATGCCCTTAGGGAACAGCCACGGGGGCAGGTGTTTGCTCCGGCCAGGGCACGCCATGGGCGGTGCGAGTGTGAGAGCAGCGTGGCCCGGCCAGGAAGCAGCACAAGTGGCCAGGGACCACGGAGCCGTGCCAAAGTGGGTCACCCCATCACCCACCGCTCAGCGAGAACGGTGCGGGTTTCTTATTTTTTTCACGCTTGCCTTTCCTCCTCCTCCTCCGGACAGATTCACCGAAGCTCCCCGGCCAATTAGGCCAAACTGCAAGCTGAGAGCCCGTGACTCACGGTCAGCTCATCCCGCCCCTCCCCAACCCCCAGCATCCTCCCCCCCCCCAGGAAGATAATAAACAACGTAATCACAGAATTAAAAAATAATCAGTGGTCATAAATAATGCAGAATCCCCAGTTATGTAACCAGCTGCCCCAGGGAGCTGGAGGCAAGGGAGCCAGGAGGGGTTGTGGAGGGGTGAAGAGGGGCAGATAAGGGTGCCGGACCCCCGAGTCCTGGGAGAGGGGGCTGGAGGGGAGGGCTGGGGCCAGGCCATCCTGGGGTGTGCAGGCCATGCAGCAAACAGAAATCCCCAGCGGCTTCTCATCAGCCCTCCCTCCGTGCCGCCTCCTCCCCGCCCCCCGTCACTGGCTGCTGACATTGCGGTGTGTGGTGTGGATCCTGGGGCCAGGGTTCGCTATTTCGCCAGGAGCCCCGCGTCGGCCACAATACCACCGGCGTGCACAGAAGTGCAGCTGTGAGGGACGAGAAGGGTCCTGACGGGTGGGGCAGGTGCTCTGAGAGCCGACAGCAGGGCACAGGGTCGGCTGGCTTCCAGGGGAGGCACAGGCGGGGTCCCCCGGAGGCTGCTGGGCGCAGGCTGCCTGTTGCCGAGGACAGGGGGCTGTGTCTGGAGACTTGGGAGGGGCTGGAAGCAGAGTAGTAGCCTGGTACTGCGGCTGGCTGACCAGAAAGTTCTCTGGGCACAGCTGGACAGGAAGTCGCCGTCGGTGGGAAGCACAGGAGGATGCGGTTGTTCAGGTGAGGGGAGCGAGAGGCTGTGACCAGGACAGTGGCTGGGGAGACTTCTGAGGCAGGACCTGGGGCCAGGGCCGCCCTTCCTCCCTGGGGCTCCTTCCCAGCCCCTAGCACGAGTGCTCATGGGATGGAGGCGCCAGGCTCTCCGCTCAGCTTCTTCCAGGCTCTGGGTCTCCGCGTCCCCAGCGGCAGGCACAAGGAGACAGGCGGGCCCCTGGCTTGCGGGCTCTGTGGCTCTGTGGCTTATGCTGCTGCTTCTCTCCAGTTCTCTGCCCCAGCGTCTTTCCTTCTGTGTGTGTAGCTGCAAGGAAATCCCACCTGCCACATGGGCAAAATGAGTCTAAGTCAGAGGAGCGGGCGCTCGGCCCAGCAGTTAGCATACTCCTGGTCCATACCAGAGTGCCCGGGTTCAAGGCCCAGCTCCGGTTCCTGACTCCAGCTTCCTGCTAATGCAGACCCTAGGACACAGTGGCGACAGCCCTAGGGACTGGGATCCTGGGAGGTCTGGATTGAGTTCCTGGTTCCAGTCCCCTGCCTGGGGGCTGCTGTGGGAATCTGCAGAGTGAACCAACAGATGGTTCTCCCTCCCTCCCTCCCTCCCTCCCTCCCTCCCTCCCTCTCTCCCCTCTCCTCTTCCTCCCTCCCTCCCTCCCTCCCTCCCCTCTCCTCTCCCTCTCTCCCTCCCTCCCTCCCTCTCTCCCCTCTCCTCTCCCTCTCTCCTCTCTCAAATAAACAAATAAGAAAAAAAAATCATCTCATGATATCCAAAGAGAGAGGCGGGTTGCCCAGGCCGGCCCCACACCTGCTCTGCCCACTGGCCCCAGGAAGTGAGGCACCTGGGAAGGCAGCGGGCCTGTGGGCTGACCCAGTCCTGCGCAGTCGTGGTTTACTTGGGCACGTGGCGTCCCTTACGTGGCCATCCGGTGGTTGTGACCCGTGCCCCCGGAGCAGCCTGAGCCATCTTTGACGTCGGCCTTGTGGCTGGTTGGCTTCTGGAACCTGTGCGGCTCTGTCCCACCTGGGGGCTGCCTGGCTGGGCTGCCCGTGGGCTGGGTGCCGGAAGCCCCCACGGTCACAGGAAAGGTCCCCGTCGCAGGGCTGTCCCCTTAGTCTACACGGGGCCTGGCCTGTGCACAGTGCGTGTCGGTGGCCTACACCGTTCTGCTCACTTTCCGAAGCGTACTGTCATTAAGTCCTCGCAAGGGCCCTCTCAGGTGAATCATCCGTGCGTGAAGGAACTGGGCCCGGGGAAGCCAAGTAACTCGGCAGCTGGTGGGCAGCGAAGCCAGACTGGACACCAAGTCTGGCTGCAGAGCCCAGGGCCTTCAGGGTGTGGCGTCCTGCTGCTGCCCATGAAAGCAGTTGGTGTCTGCTCTGGGCCCGAGGGCCCGGGGCCGGGGCACAGGCCTGAAGCCTGTGGGGAAGAGCCATGGCCTTGGGCTCCTCTCCTTCCATAACCCTGGGGTGGGGGAAGGGCATGGGGGGGCAGCCAGGGCTCCCTGGGGGAGGGCGTGTGTGCAGCCTGAGGCTCCGGGGTCCCCCAGCTGAGCGCCCCCTTGGGTCCTGCTGCAGCTGAGCCAGATGCACCCCAACCTTGTCTTCACCGAACACAGGAAGCTGAGCCTGGCCTCCCAGGGCTCTCACTTGAACTGGGGGTCCTCATGGGGGTCCCCACTTCCCCAGCTCTTCTGCGCCCCCAGCAAGTGGGGCGTCCTCTCCTGGCCTGCGCCTCGGCATGGACACCCAACCAGCTTCTCATGCTCACCCCCATGACCTCCTCCTGGACTCTCAGAGGCGGAAGGGACCTTGGCGGAGCACTGGGCCACCCACCCTCCCCAGGGAGAAACTGAGACCTGGGAATGACCCAGATGGGGTCTCCCCTCCCACTCTGGGGCTTGCACCAGCCCACCCTCACCAACCCTCAATCCCCCCCACACACACACTGTGGATGTGGGCTGAATGAGTGATTGCCTTGGTTGCTTGGTTACTCCTGGGGAAGAGCCTGGGGCCATGCTGGGAGCGGACTGGTCTGGATGTTCCCTGTGTCTTTGTCCCCGCCCACCGTGGCCAGCCTGGAGTGGACCCGTCTGCTCTGCGTTTGTGGTTCTGCTGTTTTGCTTTTGGCCTGACTCTTCCCTCTACCATCCCTGGTTCCATCCTCTCCTGTGTCTCTAGCTGGGTCCCACGTCTTCCCACCGGGTCTCTCACCCTGATTTCTCTGCAGGCAGGGGCACAGGCAGGCACTTGTGGGGGTGGGAGGGGGAGAGGCGCAGGCAGGCACCTGTGGGGGTGGGAGGGGGGAGAGCAGGGTGAGGCTCTCACTGGGTGCCCTTGGCCCCAGCCCTGAGCCCGGGAGCGTGACTTCTTCTGAGTCCTTCTCCCCGCAAGCCAGGGGCCCAGGGAGGACACACAGGGGGTGTGGGGGGTGGGTGCAGGAAGAGGGTGACCAGCCAGTGCCACACGCCTGCTGCCCTCGTCCTGAAAGGCTAGGGGAGACCTGGAGGGGACAGTGGCTGGTGGGCTGCTGGTGGTCCCAGGTGCTGTACAAAAACCTGGACAGGGCCTTCCTTGTGGCTACCCTGAATCCTGTCCTCCCTGGGGGGAGTCCTGGGGACACTCTGGGGTCCTACTGCCCTTAAAAAAAAGGTATATTTATTTGTTTTTAAAGGCAGAGTTAGAGAGAGGCAAAGGCAGAGAGAGAAAGTCTTCTATCTGTTGGTTCACTCCTCCGAATGGCTGCGACAGCCAGAGCCGTGCCGATCCGAAGCCAGGAGCTTCTTTGGGGTCTCCCACATGGATGCAGGGGCCCAAGCACTTGGGCCATCATTCACTGCTTTCCCAGGCCACAGCAGAGAGCTGGATTGGAGTGGAGTAGCCAGGACTCGAACCTGTGACCATATGGGATGCCAGCACTGCAGGCTGGGGTTTTACCACTATGCCACCGCGCCAGGCCCCCCACTGCCCTTCTGACCGAGCTCTCTCTGTCAATCAAAGGCTGACAGAGCCCCATCACCAGGGCTGCAGCTGGGTGGGAGAGCGAGGGCCACAGCCAGCTCCGTCAGGCCCGGTCTGGACCCTCAGCTGGGCCCACGAACCTGTGACCGCCAGCCCGACCGCCCTCCTGTAGCTCAGCAGCCAGGGTTGGGGGAGGGGGGCACACTCGCCCCCACGCAGCCCCACGGACCCTCCCATCTCACCCCCCCCCCCCACCAGGTGGTGAGCCAGATCGACAGGCTGACCTCGGACTTCGACTTCGACCTGGAGCCGGACGACTGGACCACGGCCACGGTGAGCAGCACCTCGAGCAGCGACAAGGCGGGCACGGGCGGCCCCTTCGACCTGGGCCAGCTGGACTTCGTGACGGCGGACATCCTCTCCGACAGCTGGGAGTTCTGCTCCTTCCTCGACGCCTCCACGCCCTCGGACTCTGTGGACGGCCCCGAGGCCCGGCCGGGCGCTGGCGCTGACTACCGGCTCATGAACGGCGGCCTGCCCGTCCCCAACGGGCCGCGCGTGGACACCCCGGACTCCTCCAGCGAGGAGGCCTTCGGCGCTGGCCCGGCCAAGGGCCAGCAGCCCCAGCGGACCCCGGGCACGCGGGAGAGGGTGCGTTTCAGCGACAAAGTGCTCTACCACGCGCTGTGCTGCGATGACAAGGAGGGAGACGGCGAGGAGGCGGCCGCCGCGGCGGAGGAGGAGGAGGGGGGCGCGCCTCCCGAGCTCCCCTACGCCGAGGGCCACGGCGCCGGCCCCCTCAAGCCGGCCCCCGCTCCCCACAAGCCCCGGCGCCCTCCCTTGACTGGCGGCCGCTCGGGCCCGGCGGCGGCCCCTGACCACTTCAGGAGAAACAGCACAAGGAACAGCAGCACCCAGACGGTGTCAGACAAGAGCACGCAGACGGCGCTGCCCTACACGGCTGCCCGGCAGAAAGCCAAGGGCAAGAACTAGGGGCGGGCGGGCAGGCACATAGAGCTATATATATATAATATATATATTTAAATAATCGCAGTCATAATAAAATTTTAAAATGCCGAGGATCCGGCCCGCAGGCCCCCGGCACTCATCTTGGGCCGAGGTGAGCCTGGAGGCACAGCCAGGAACAGGGCCCCTGCAGGGGTGTTTTGAGAGGATGCCTATGGGGTGTGTAGCGGGGAGGGGCGGGGCGGGGCCTGGCTGCTGGCCTGCAAGGCAGCCATGGCCCAGGTCCCAGGTGCACATTGGAGTGCTGGGGACATGGCAGGGCTGGGGGCCCGGGGGTGGCCCTGGATCCCTTGCGCCTCCTCCTGAGAAAGCAGGGCCACAGCCAGGCTCCCGGCCGAGACCACCTTAGCAGGCTCAGGCGTGAGCACCTAGGGCTGCTCGCGGTCACGGAGCTCCCTGCACACCTGCCCGGCGCGGCCAGCCTCCCTCTCCGAATCGCCATGGCCAACAGCACAGGGAGCATCACTGTCCCCGCTTTGACAAATGAGGAGGTGCGGGGCGTCCGCAGCTGCTCCGGGCCCCACTGTCTGGCTCTGTGTGGCGTGGGCCCGGCGGTCGCCCGCCTCTCTGAGCCCGTCAATGGAATGAGTCCGACGGTCTTCACTGGCCGTGGCAGAGCTGTCACAAGCCAGGGGGCCCTGATGGACAGAACGGGCTGCAGGTGCCTGTTGTGATTTCTGGGGCAAGGGTCCCTGAGTGGGTGGGGAGAAGCCAGCGGGGAGCCACCGCTGGGTCCACCAGCTCTGGGTCCACAGCGAGGACAGGGCTCCTCCTCTGGGCCTCCGTGTCCATGAAGGCAGCTTTCCCGGCACCAGGGGGGCCTGGCGGCAGCTGCTGTCTCTGCTCAGGAGGTGCTGTCCAGCCCCAGCCGTGGGGAGACAGCTGGATCCGGCAGCAGACCCACTGGGGCAGACTCGAGGTGCTGGCTGGGTGGGGAGGGGTCTCTTCTGCAGCCCTCCAGAGGTCACCAGGATGCAGTCCCCCTCCCCGCCCCCCGCAATGTGGAAACTCGGCTCTTCCCAGCCCAGCCTGAGAGCCAGGTGCTCCTAGCTGTGGTCGACCAGGACAAGGGCCGGGGGCTCCCTGGCCGTGGGAAGAGGTGGCTTCTGTTCCCTGACGGTGAGGAGGGGCGGCCCCCGCCCAGCCGTGGGTCCACCTGGTTCTGCGACAGACCCGCGCTCTCCTCCAGAGAGGTTCAGACTCAGTCTCTCTGTTCACCAGTCGGGGAGAAGAAACCCATTTCACAGAGGAGGAAACCAAGGGCCAGAGCCAGGGCCTCCGAGAAAGCCCAGGACCTGTCACCCCCCCACACACATATACACACGCGCACACACACCAGGCTACTTGTAAACGCGGCTGTGGCGCAGGTGCGTCCTGGAGGAGGGGCGTGGGTTTGGAATGGGGGTCCGGACGCGTTGTCCTCATCGTTTTGCCGAGGCCAGTCCCGGCCTCACTGCCGAGGGGTGGGATCCCCACAGCTTGTGGCCACCCAGGGAGAGCTGATGTCACTGGTGAGCTCCCGGTCCCTGCAGCGGACCCCACCATCCCCGCGGGACCTCCTCCAGATGCACCTGCTGGGCAGGGGTCAGCCCGCGTCCTGCCCTCCCTGCTGCTAACCTGGGCCAGTGTCTGTGCTGCGTCACCCAGGCCTCCTGCAGGAAGGGGCCAGGCTCTGTCCTCACAGGCGACTGTGCTGTGCACTAAAGCTCGCTCTAACCCACTCATCCCACGCTGCAAACAGGAGACGGGACGCTGGGGCTCTGAGCTGTGCGGCAGGGGGCGGCACTGGGTATCCTAGGCCAGGCGGGCCTTGGGGCTTGGGTGAGGGTGCAGACATCAGGAGGAGGGTGCCTAGGGACTCTTGGGAGAACCTGGCTACTATGAACCTGAGTGTCACAACCCCTGACCCAGAGCCCCAAAGGGACAAGCGGAACAACAGATGTTTGTTGGATGACTGAATGAGCTACACCGACAGAGGATCACCCACTGTGCATGCATTCAATCAGCTTTGACGGCGGCCGTGGGGGTGGGGGTGGCTCTGTGCACCAGGTCCATGGTGCTTGTGCACAAGCAGGTGTGCATGCCTCCCCCAGGACAGCCTGGGCTGTGCAGAGTGAAGGCAGCAAGGTGCCACCCTGGGGGGGGGGAGGGGCCAGAAAGGGGAGGAGCTGTGGGGAGAGACCCTCAACCCGATACCCTTCTTTTAGGCCAGGTGTGGAGCAGGGCCCGGGAGTCGGAGAGCCGGGGCCAGGGCTGTCCCCTTGTACTGGCGACGGACTGGTCTGACAGTGCCAAGGGGCGGAAGGGGCGCAAGCTGTTCAGAGACCCCAGACTGTACCCCTGTGAGGAGAGCTGGAGTGAGAGGCAAGTTCACAGCGGGTCGCACATCCAGGAGACGCAGGCCCAGCCCCGCCCCCAGCTCCGCCCACTCCCACCTGGCACCTCTTCCACAGCTGGGACTGTGCAAAACGCTGACAGCTCCTGACAGCCCAGCGCACAGCAACACATCACGGCACTAACACGCAGTGACAGAGTGAGCTGGGCCCGGCACAGAACAGGTCACCGGGTGATTACTGAGTCAACGGATTCACCACACACCTTTCCAGGGTGAAACCAATGCACCAATGGGGACCGTGTTCCGTGGCGGAGCCAGAGGCCAGGACTGTCACTCCTTTTTTTTTTTTCCTCTCTCTCTCTCTCTCTTTTTTTTTTTTTTTTTTACAGGCAGAGTGGACAGCGAGAGAGAGAGACAGAGAGAAAGGTCCTCCTTTGCCGTTGGTTCACCCTCCAATGGCTGCTACGGCCGGCGCACCGCGCTGATCTTGATGGCAGGAGCCAGGTGCTTCTCCTGGTCTCCCATGGGGTGCAGGGCCCAAGCACCTGGGCCATCCTCCACTGCACTCCCCGGCCACAGCAGAGTTGGCCCGGAAGAGGGGCAACCGGGACAGAATCCGGCACCCTGACCGGGACCAGAACCCAGTGTGCCGGTGCCGCAAGGCGGAGGATTAGCCTAGTGAGCCGCGGTGCCGGCCGGACTGTCACTCCTAATGCTGTGCGTGGAGGAGCTGCCGTCCCTGGCAGGCAGGGCCACCTGCTGCCCTGGACGGTGGGCCAGACTTCCGGTTCTGGGGGCTCAGCAGGCAAGCAGCTCCAGGACCGGGGTGGGGAGGGGGTCCCTGGCTCGCCTCCTGTCTCTGGCAGAGCCGCAAGACGGGCCCTGTTCTCAGCCAGCAGAGGCCCAGGCCCTCTCTGGTGTAGGCTTGCCTGGTGCTGGGGGGCGGGGGAGGGGCAGGGGTTACCTGGAGGAGGAAGTGAGCGCCTGGGAGTGGGAATGGGTGGCGTAACAGGGCTGGTGGAACCTCAGGTGAGAGGGTGGGCGTTTAGCCTGGTGGTTAAGAGGTGTCCCCGTCGGAATACCTGGGCTTGATGCTCCGGCTCCGGCTCCGGCTCCGGCTCCGGCTGCCTGCTCGTGCACACCCTGGGAGGCGGCAGTGATGGCTCAAGTCCTTGGGGTCCTGACACCCCATGCGGGGGACCTGGCTGCCAGCTCCAGCCTGGCGCGGCTCTGGCCATGGTGGGTACTCAGGAAGTGTCTGTCTCTGCCTCTGAAACATGTTTTCGTTTTTGTATAAAAGCGCTGCCCGCAGTGCCTGTGCGGCAGACGGGAGAAAGCCATCTTGCCGAACTACAGGCCAGGACAGCGGGGAGCAGCTTAGCAGGGCTCAGAGCAGCCCCGCCTGCCCGGGGGGAGGGAGGCCGGGCGCCCCTGTGCTCTGAGACAGGGGCCGGGGGCAAGCATTTGGCACAGCAGTTAAGGTCCCTTTTGGGCCGTCTGCTTCCTGTATGGAGTTTCTGGTTTGAGCCCTGGCTCTGCTCCTGGTTCCAGCTTCCTCCTGATGCAGACCCTGAGGGGCAGCAGGTGATGGTTCAAGTACTTGGCTCCCTGCTGGCCGCACGGAGGCCAGAACGGAATGTCAGGGTCCTCGCTTTTGGCCTGGTCCAGCCCTGATGGAAGATCTCTCTCTCTCTCTCTCCTCTCTCTCTCTCTTTCTCTTTCCCGCTCTTTCTCTCTCCATCGATATCTCTCTGCCTTTAAAATAGAAAAGCATTTTTTAAACAACTCAGTAGCACGTCACGCAGTAGAGACCGATGTGATGGGCAGAGAACCACGGGGCATCGGCACACTGGGCATGAGTTACACACGGAGGTATGAGTGCATGGAAAACAGTTGGGGGGCCGGCGCCGTGGCTCACTTGGTTAGTCCTCCGCCTGCGGCACTGGCATCCCATGTGGCCATTGGTTCAAGTCCCGGCTGCTCCACTTCTAGTCCAGCTCTCTGCTGTGGCCAGGGAGTGCAGTGGAGGATGGCCCAAGTGCTTGGGCCCTGCACCCGCATGGGAGACCAGGAGGAAGCGCCTGGCTCCTGGCTTCAGATCGACGCAGCGCTGGCCATAGCAGCCATTTGGGGAGTGAACCAACGGAAGGAAGACTTTTCTCTCTGTCTCTCTCTCACTGCCTATAACTCTACCTGTCAAATAGAAAAAAAAAGAAAAGAACAACAGTCGGATCCTCCCAGTACAGCCAAACACCCCCATCCCACCCCACACCACCACGATGTGAGCACTGCACCTCTCCCCCTGCCCCAGCCCCAGGAGTGGGGCGCTGGGGACCAGGTGGCTATGACGCTGCTGCCACCTGATTCTGCTCACCTACTGCCCCTCCCCCTACACCTGTGCCCTCCGTGCCAGCCAAGGACACTGCGGCGGGCTCTCCGTGGGTGACTACAAGCCACGCTGTCCACGGCCCTAGCACTACACTGATCGAATCTGACTCCCTGCCGGGTACACTCAGGCTCACACACCTGCCTGGGGCTCCTGGGCTCCTGTTCCCCTGTTCCAGCTGGGGCCGGGGGGAGGTGAGACGCTTCCCACTGTGGGCGACAAACCCTCCTGGAGAAACCCAGCCCCCAGGGGCTACCTCTGCAGGATGGGGCTGGGGGCAGGCTGGGGGGGAGGGGGTCCTATAAGGCAGAGTATGTGCAGCAAGTGTGGAAAGAGACCTGGGACCCTGGTCTGGTTCAC